ACCTAAAGGACACATCATAATAAATACTTTAGGGCAACCTAAACTGCAGTAGTACCTTGTCTTGTCGCGTGCGAGTGACGAACTATCGCCGCTTTCCAGGTAAATGCGGCAACAATTTGTTGTAGCAAGTACCCGCTTTACGTTCAGGACGAGGTTACCAACCTTTCTATTCCTACCTTCCTGTTAGTTATGACATATTGTCAATTTACACTCCCTTTCACAAGCGGTTCCATTGGCCAATTTGTGAGTTTCACCGCTACTCCAGGATTTTACATGCCTTTCCAGAATTTGTTTTCCAGAGAGTTTCCACAATGTAGACTGAAGTCCCAAGGGACCGTCATCATTCGGACCTAATCTCTTGAAGAAGATGTTGTATCAACCAACAAGAATCAGCAAATTTAAACGGTAGAAAACGTAAGCATTTAAGTTTACTTGTTGTACGGGAGCAGAGAGATTAAACCGAAAGCAGGGTGCAACTCTGATAGACATGAAGAGTTGTATCCGAGTGGGTGTTTAGGAAGTATGGATTACTACACAGACGTTCTTTCTATGGTTTCACCATCGTATTGATGCATTTTCATTTTAACTTAGAGCTCGCCAGATAGCGCCCTGGGGGCAGGTAAGAGTAGTTGGCGAAGTACGAGGCGGCAGTTCACCTTAAACGCAGACAGCCTACGCAATGATTACATTCAGGCAGACTGTAGAATACAACCTCTTTGGACCATTTATATACTTATTGGAAACAAATTACAGGATCTCATACCTTGGAAAATGCTGTTTAATACTTTTTAATAGGCTTAATTTTCGCTAAATTGATTTATCAACTTTTAATAGTTTTTAAGACCCCGCCCGCGGACACCCTGTCACAGATGAATTTACTCCACAGTTACATACATGTATTTACTGAATGTGATCTTTTAAAACAGTCAGTTAACTCAGAGTAAAATAAGCCTTTGACACCAGGCAGACTCACTCACAGCAGGAAATAATACATGTGGCTAATGAACCAGAAATGTAATTACACATTTCTTGTGAATGCATCCATCATAATCTTAACAAATATGTTTTACATCAAATATGATTTAAAAACCTCCTTTAAATCTCCATGAAATGCAGCAATGAAAACAAATCTGGTTCTGTGATTATTATGAAGCCGTCATTTCTGTCGTCCCTTTCTATGAAATTGAGATTATGGAATGCTTTTTGCACTTTAATTATTTAAATCAGATTGATGTTGTTGTATTTTATAATGAACTGGCTGTTTTTATAATATGTATTGTCAGAAGCCATAGTAAGTTGCTTATTTGGTCATGAGTTGTTCTCATTGTTTGTGCGATTAAAGAAACAGTTCTGTGTTTCAGACATTAATATTGTATAATATGTTTTGCCTCTACCTGGCTCAGGCCCACGTAGGTCATCTCAAACTTGTTTTTATAGATGGTTCTCCGCAGGCAGCAGTCAAACAGCTCCACTCCACCACACAGAGTTCCCTATGAACACACAAACACACAATAAAACATCAAACAACATTTACTTTGATACGTATATGTGGTTTGTTTTTAACAGAGGGAATAACTGGTGTAAAGTCGCACGATTCAATGTCATAGTTAGCTGTTAAATATACGTCTAACACCAGGTAACATAAGAGATCAGAAAGAGAACATACACATGCACATTCAAATGCTGTCCACATCCACATTGGAGACACACTAAGAGAAGTTAAAACAATTATTGAACATTTTCTTGTATACATCTTCAATTTAATTCATAAAGACACAAGCAAACGTATCTCAAAAAGGATTTATATAATTATAGAAATATTCCCTTGTTCCAAATAACGGCCAGCATTGAGTTTCCTTTATTTAAATGTCTGGAATCCAATAATAATCGAAAACATGTGATAAATAAATAAGTGAATTACCGCACAGAGGCGCGATCCGTCTTTCTTCCAGGCCAGGCTGGTGATGGTGGGGAGACACAACGTCTCGTCGCCATGAAACTGAAGAAGACCGTCGACTCGACTATAGCTAACAAATGCCTAATCACCTACCGTTCCATGTATAATTCAGTACATAATGTTAAACATTTTTTACCATGACTGACAAATAAAATAATTTGTCTTTATAGTCTTCCTCTCGTCTGTGCGTCATCAACACACAACTAATCATACACAACGAGTATAGTCGTAAAATTTCACCCACTTTACTAATTACTTTATTACATGACAATTTTTTTATACTTTATATAAAAAAAAGGACGGAAACAGTGTCCATGGGAGCGGTGTGAGTCTGTTCCGTTAGGTAGGCTGGGGTAAGTGCTCGTCGGCTCAGGACCGCAACTAGAGTGATCGGTAGGTTCATTATTATAGATATTACTACTTACGTGTTAAATATTTGAGGTGTCTATCAATAAAATTTATAACCTACCCTGTCTTGTTAAGGGTCAGAAAAAGTTTCACACACACACACACAACAGCACACACACGACACCACAAACACACACACACACCCACACACACACACACACCCCCACACACACACACACACACACACAACGACAGCACACACACACACACAACATCACAAACACGAGAGTGCACAAAGACCAATTTCCGTAGGACACACGCCGGTGCGACTGCCCTGCCAGCACGCATGAAGAAATTACGCTTCGAAGCCCCCTGAAGTCCATGGTTGTGTGGAACAACGACTTCTGTAAAGAGCATAGTAAAGGTTTCCAGTGTGAGTAATGACGTTTTAGGTTAAGAGGTACAGAGAAGATTGGTAGTTGTACACAGGGGGAGGAAGAAGTACAGAGAAGATGTAGTTGTACACAGCGGAGAAGTTAAAGAGTCAGAGAAGATGTCAGTCTTGTACACAGGGCAGAAGAGGTACAGAGGAAGATGTAGTTTGTTACACAGGGAGCAAGAGGTACAGAGAAGGAATGTAGTTCGTACACAGGGAGGAAGACGGGTACAGAGAAGATGTAGTTTGTACACAGGGGGAGAAGAGGTTACAGAGAAGATGTAGTCGTACACAGGGGAGAAGAAAGTACAGGAAGATGTAGTTGTACACAGTGGAGACAGAGGTACAGAGATGTAGGTAGTACTACAGGAGAAATGAGGTACAGCAGAAATGTAGTCGTACACAGGGAGGAAGGACAGTAAGAGAGATGTGAGTTGTAACTCGCAGAAGAAAGAGTAACAAGAAGATGTAGGTTGGTAACGGACGACACCTTTCCTGAGACTTTCAAGTTTTCCTTTGTTGTCTTAAGTCAGAGAAAAACTAGGTAAAGATATTTCTCGGACAGATTTTACTCGACTAGTCTAAACGTGAAATCTACAGTATTGCTACAAAACCAGAACACATTTGTAATCGGGGTTAGTCTTCTCTCGGTTCCATTGGGTTTACAGAGTAGACTCCCCGCACCCTCCCCGAGGAATAAAAGTAGATTTCATTGTCTGTACTCTTAGGTCGTTGAAACCGCTTGTCACGACTTTGTTCCCTATACCATACGACGTTACTAGACAAACCACGCAAGTGGTTAGTTCTTGTCGACTCTGGATCACTATTATAACTACTTTTTTGTCATTTATCCCAGGAAATTTACACGGAGAGTCAGATTCAGGAGGATTGACCACTGCGTCCCCTTCGACGACCACTGGGCAGGGGGGGGTGATGCGAGACCGGGACCCGTCGTTTGGTTCGTAGTACCACCCGCCGACGCTATTTCCCACCACCGCATGCCGTCTCTCCCCGTGCAGGACGTCTGGAAGCTCATGGTCGGCGCTGGCGTGTTTCCTCTTCCTCGAAGCTGGCACGGCAGTGGCTCGGGGTGCCCGTCAGGCAGCACCAAACCGTCGAAACGTCGGCCAGTCAATGTACGTAGAAAATGTCTGACATAACCTCTACAGATTGTTCAGTATATATATATATAATATTGGGCGCGGATATAGTGGCCGTTGTGAATAACGGTCGAAACGAGGCAGACAAATCAGAGGGACTCCAAAGGTTTGTGAAAAAGGAAATTTGGTAAAATCCCACAGAGACCCCTCTAGAAAGGAACATTGACGCTCCCAGATTCCGTCCCCACCAGTTTGATTTAAAGTACGCCCGGTGTAATCTTTGATACGAACGGTGAGTTTCCGGCCAAGATTGAAATTCTGTTCTACTTATATGTATCTATTTATCATATATTATATATAGTTTATAACATAATAAAATGTTATAATTGGAGTGACCGTAACTTAAGTAATACCCTATCCCCATTATTGAAGTATTAATTGATTGCACACTTTCGTCTTCAGGTCCCGTTTATTAAACGTTCATTAAGCATTATTTCAGTGAGAGTCACGCGGTCGAGTGGTTTTACACTTACGTAACACCCTGTACATCAAATACTCGTTGCACGACGGACATTTCGCCGTGCATTGGAGTATTATTTGCATAATATAAGAAACGTTCGAGAAACACCCGGTGTATGTTACTTCACCGCCCGGGCCTAAACCGGGGTCCGGAGCTCAAAGCTTGGGGGACCAAGATTCCTTTCTCTCATCAAACATAGAGGACGTGCGGTGAGGTTTCGGCGGACCTTATTTAAGTACACAATAAGGCCTATAACTTGAAAATATTTATCTTAACGTTGTGTACCTAAGGACAGGGACATAGAGGACATCCGACGGCCCACGAAGTTGACCCCGAGGGTCCTCTCCGTCACACCCTACTCCGCTTCGGGTTTCTCTAGG